ATGAGTCATACGCTGCTGCTATGCAATGTCTGACGCACCTGCCGATAGTAGCCGCCCGAAGCACATCTAGCTTGTGCCATTGGTGTTCCAATTCGTGTCTGGGAGAAAAATCTGGTAACACTACCTCCTGTGAGCGGTGGAACCAGGAACCAACCTTCAGCATAAAAGAGATCCAGTCTAAGGACCACCCTGTCTGCATGGAACCTACAGAGGTCCTCCCACACTGACAAAGCATGTAGTTCAGATATGCGTCTTGCTGATGTCACTGCCACCAGGAATGTTACCTTGCAGGTAAGGAATTGTAAGGACACCTCCTGAAGGGGCTCAAAGGGCAGATCTATCAGAGCCTCCAGGACCTTTGCCAGATCCCAGGTTGGATATCTATGCACTGCAGGTGGTCTTAGATTAACTGCACCTTTAAGGAATATCCGCACATTGGGATGATGTGACAGCAATTGTCCCCCATCCCAGGTGAGTACGGTGCTCAATGCAGCCACCTTTCTCCTAAAAGTGCTAGGTGCTAACCCCTTCTTCAGACCATCCTGGAGAAATTCCAGGACCTGAGGGATGGTGGAATTAACCAGTGAAATGTGTTTGGCTGCACATCAACGAGAATTTTTTTTCCAGGTGGTATTGTAGATGTGGACCATTGATGGTCTCCTGGAGGCTTGTATGGTGATGACCCTCTCTGAGAGACTGCTTTCCCTCAGCTTGAGATGCTCAACTGCCAAACGGTCAATTGCAGCTACTAGGGGTCCGGGTGTTCCAGTGACCCTGGTTCGGGACAACCTTGTGAATCCTCCAAGGTCTCTCCATGGACAGCGACTGCAGGTCAGCAAACCAAGGGCGTCTCAGCCAGTGTAGTGCCAGAAGGATTGCCTCTGCCCTGACACAGATGAGCCTGCGGATGACTCTGGGGAGGAGAGGGACCGGGGGAAAGGCATAGAGGAGACCCTTGGGCCAGGGGCTGCAAAGGGCATCCACTCCTTCCACTCCAGGCGTGTTGAACCATGTGAAAAACCTCAGGAGCTGGGCATTGGCTGGGGTGGCAAACAGGTCTACGATCGGGAGTCTGTAATGCTGTGTGATCTCCTGAAAAGACAAGGATGCAGTCGCCATTCGACTTGGTCAACTGTAGCTCTGCTAAGCCAATCCGTGATGCCAGAAATATGTTCCGCTGAAATGGACAAGAGATTATCCTCTGCCCAGGAGACCAGGACATCGGCCTCTGACATAAGACCACCAGACCTCGTTCCCCCTGGCTGTTAATGTGGGCCTTAGCTACCATATTATCGGTCAGAATAAGGACATGCTGCCCCGAGATGGAGTCCTGAAATTTCAACAGGGCCAACCTGATGGCCCGCAGTTACAACCAGTTAATGCTCTTCTCTCCCTCCTCCTGGGTCTATTGCTTTGTGCCATTTGTGTTCCCATATGGGCACCCCAACCATACAGGCTAGCATCTGTGCTAACCGTCACTTTTTCGAGAATCCTAAAATGACACCCCCTCTCAATGGCCGGTGACTTCCACCAGTAGAGAGATTGGCGAATCTTCTGTGGTAAAGATACTTTAGCCAAGGAAACATTGCGGTTAGACTTCTGGTAGGGGAGGAGGAACCATTGTAATTCCCTTGTATGTA